ATATAAATGGTACAGAGGGGGAAGAAAGGAGCTCTTGGTTTGACAGGAAGATAGGGATTTAGGGAAATAAGAAGGCTGAATGGAGATGGACCACAAAATAGCAGACAGAAAGTTTTACTGAAATTCAGCTGCAGGAAGGACTCAAGAATCTTTGAATTCTTGAGACGCAAGAGGGAGGAGATTATATGTATATGTACAGCTGATTCACTTTTTGTTATAAAATAAAAAAAGAGGCTTCCTTGGTGGCGTAGTGGTTGAGAGTCCGCCTGCCGATGCAGGGGACACGGGTTCGTGCCCCGGTCCGGGAAGATCCCACATGCCGTGGAGCGGCTGGGCCCGTGAGCCACGGCCGCTGAGCCTGTGCATCCCACAACGGGAGAGGCCACAACAGTGAGAGGCCCGCATACCGCAAAAAATAAAAATAAAAATAAAAGTAAAATTGAAAAAAAGAATCTTAAGGAAAAAATAGAATTAGGTAGGCTTTTCAAAAACTGGGCAAGATTTGGGCTGGTGGAGAGGGGTGAGAAAGGCATTCAGTTTTTAAATTTTTTTGAAATTCTGTTTTATTGAAGTACAGTTGATTTACAATGTTGTTAATTTCTACTGCACAGCAAAGGGATTCAGTTATACATACATACACGTTCTTTTTCATATTATTTTCCATTGTGGTTTGTCATAGGATATTGAATATAGTTCCTGAGGCAAGGAATATCACTGCATGAAAATCTAAAGATCTGGAGGGCAAAAAAGGCAGGGGGAGTCTGGGGAGGAACTGAGTTAGTTTGTCCAAAGTGAAGTTCATGAAGAAGAATGTAGGTTGGAATTTAATTACGGCGCTTTGAATGCCAAACCGAGCTTTGGACTTACTTCTGTTGGCAACAGGGAACCACAGAGGCTTGGGCTAGGGGAGTGATGGACCGAGCGAGGCTCGGGGAAGTTAGCCCTGTGAGCAGACTAGGTAGGGAGACTCCCTAGGTTGGACCCAAGTATAAAGGAGGAATGAGGGATAAGAAGATGCTAAGCATGACCTTGCTGACACAGCGACATCCCAATTGTTAGTTCAGACTAGGAGCTAGTATTAGGGCCATTTTTTCCCAGTCCATTTTGCTTTTCTGCTCATTAGAAAGAATTCACTCCCAGACCAGTCCACACAAGTATGTTACTTAAGTAATGCTGCTTTCTGCCTCTCTTAGACTTTCTTAACTACTCTTGAGATGCAACCCATACTCCTGGCTGCTGCCTGACAGTGTTTGTTGTCACTGACACCCCAGATACAAGCATAAATATGATGCCATTCTTGCTGTTGCATAAGTGCTGACTGTTCCTTGGAGCAAACGAGGTCATAGTTGTCTCTCTCTCGAGGCTGTCAGAACTGCTCAGCTTAGAGGTTCTTAGAAGAAAAGTAGTTTCAACTCACAAAGGAAAGAGACTCTCTAAAGCCCAAGAGCTTGGTTCAGGGAGGAAAACACCAATTTCCCTGAAATGCTCAAGTCCCTGGACCAGTTCAATAAACGTGGGTCACAGGAATGTAAGTCACAGATTTCCTGAACTTAGCCTGCTGGCTTACAAGTTCCCCTGTGAAAGTGGCAGGTTTTGTCCTACACAGATGTGCATCTTAGCCATTTCGGAAAAACACTGCTGGAGGACAGCAGTAAGGAAGACCCCGAGCATCTCTGGCCAGAGTTGAGCTGGTTTCACCCCCTCCCCCCTTGCAGGACAAGCTTTTCTTTGGGTAGTTGGGTTAATGAAATGAACTGAAGCAGTGAGGGCTCCTTTGATGAAAATGCAAAGTTAAAAGGCCCCAACATTCCTCTGAGTGAAGTCCTGGAAACCAAAGGCTGCATGAAGACAGGTGCTCAGTAGAGGCCAGTGACTGAGCTCCAGGCAGAGCCCCAGCCCTGCAGGACTGATTCATGTGGATGAGGCTAAAACACACTCAAAGAACAACACATCATTACCTGGTATGGGTGAGAAAAGTCAGGGTAAACTGTCTGGGACTTGTCGGGGGAACGAAATGGGTATAAGGGTAAATTAAGTAGTATTTCTTTACTATGCCCCGCTGGTTAATATTGATAAAACAGATAGATGCTAATAGACCCAAAGAACAAAAATGATTCTCAGATAATTGTGCAAAGTGTTTTAATGGGTAAAGGCCTAGAGGAACTCAAATGATTGAAACTCCGACCCCCCTGGAGCCCCAATCTTAAGTCAGGCTGTCAAAAGAGTGTCATAAACTTTGGTTCCACATTTAACTCTGAAAGCCAAAGACCCACAAAGTCCCCAGTACTTGGGATCTTGGGGGAAAGTTTAAGCTTTTCAAATTCAATTCCCTTTTAAAAATTCTAACAATTACAAAAATTAATGTCATTGCTGGCACTGAGTCACCACCTACTGGCTATAGAGGAAAGTACAAATGTTATAAAATGTACCCGGTCACACCACAAGGTTAGGGAAACAGCCCGACCAAAGGAAGAGACGTGAACGACTGAAACAGATAGGATGGGGTAGTAATAAACACTCAACAACACTTGTGGTTAGAAAACAGAAAGAAGTCTTAGTCTCCCCCAGGCCACGAGAGGACCTAGAGAAGGAAATCAGGACAGACGTAGGAGAAGGACCCTTATCTACACTTCACAGGAGACTCCGGGAAATCTCCACTACAATTAGGATGCCTGGGACCTCGGAGCCCCGTTTCACGCCCTAATTAATCGACCCAGGAAGATGGAGAGGAAGAGGAAAGCACTAGAATAGACGCCAGCAGTTTGCATGGTTTTGTCTTTCACACACTAGGCGGGACATAATTCGATGGCTCTGGACCTTTGTTCTCACAACCTTCAAAATGACATATGGCTTCAGGTCTGCTGGTTGGAAAGTGCAGAAGCAGTGAGATCCCCATGAACTGGTTTCTTTCTTCCTGCTTCCACTGGGGCGTGTGTGCGCGGCATCACCGCTAGTCCTAGTAACATGACCCTCAGGACATTAAGAACTGTTAACACTCAACTTTATTAACATTTAAACACAGCAGATGCTTCTGCACGTTAAACATGTATGGAACCGAGCGGTTCGGCAGAGGCGCCCGGCCCCGCCTATGCTAACACACCCCCGGCTGAAGGGGGTGGCCAGGGGTCTGCAGCCCAGGGGTGCCTCCCATGCAAAGGCCTGTGGGTCCCACAGCCCCGGTGCTTTATTTCTCCTTAAGTTCTTCCCTTGAAATTAGGATGAGCTGCCCTGGAGGGACAGCTGGACTTATAAACCTAAGAATATTCAGGGACCAATATTGGTTGTTTCCTATGACCGAGGAAACCCTGAAATCCTCCAGAGCCCTCAGGAGAAGCAGCTCCGGTATTCTGGAATCCACAGGCAGAGGCGTCTCCCTTCCATGGCAGGTGTGTATGGGACCTGGGAATCCAGGACAAATTCTGGAGTGATGGAGTATGAGACACATGTGCTGGCTGTCCCCAGCACAATTGACCCCAGAGGAAAACCACAAAGCAACAGTATTCTGCAGCAAAAACAAGTCCAGGAAGTAGGAAGAGAAAACTAGAACAAAAAAATTGCTGAAGTATTTGGAAACAGGGTTTTAGAGAAAAAACATAGGGTTTGGAGAGTACAAGGTCTTCATTTTTCTCCCTGCACGAAGCAGGGTGCAGTATCGCTCCTAAAGGTATAATTTTAAAAACATGTCTTTTCCATAAATATTTCAGTGGGTAATGGGCGTATTAAACTAGAGTAAAAATTCCCTGCTGGGAACACCTGAGGTCTGCCTTCAGTTGCCCGTGTTTCTTAAACCAGGCTACACAGGATCAACATGGCCCATCTTCCTACAACATCAGTTTTATTCAACGATTCAGGAGATTTTTTTGTCTTAAAACCAAAACCGACTGGTCGATATACATTGTTAATGAATATATTATACAGTGGAGACTCCGAGGAAATAACTTTACTGGGCAGCTCCCAGGACTGGCCGTGCCCTCGGTGGTCAGCATCCTTCTCACTTAGGGTCACAACTGGAAAAGCTGCGGACGGGAAGGTCGGACTGCAGCACCAGGGCAGCACTGACAGACATGAACAAGGAACCGATGGGTCACAGAGGTGGCACGAGGGGGCCATCTACACTCCGATACTATGACACACAACCTGCTGCCCTAGGGGTGATGGGATTGGCTTCTCTGAAGCGCTCCTCGGGGAACAGGAGTTCTGTAGAGTGAAGTGAGTGGAGCCGTTGGGGGGTTAGGGAAAGAGGCATTTCAGGCAACACCCCCTGGAAGAGGGCAGCTCATCCTCGCTGAAGATGCCAGGCCACGTGCTGGAGGCATGCAGCGGTCAGTATTGGAAAACCGGTCGGAGAGCATCGTAGTCTTTAAGGGAAAATCTGATTCTACTGGGGTTTCCATGTCAACAGTGCACTCGAATTTAAGAAGTTTCCAGTGCATTTCCAGAAGTACAAATTTTTATGTTTGTATGAAAGCGGCAGGGTCAAAAAGAAACTCACTCAACTCTGTTCCTCCCAGCCGCCCTGCAGGTGGAGCTGGACAGCTCCTCCCACCTTCCTCATTTCAGTGTGCGGTGCGCACATGTGCTTCACGCTGCCCCGAGAACAGAGCCTTCTCCGGCCCTTCCTTGGCTAACGGTCCTTCTCTTCCAAGCTTGCTCTCTCTTTCTAATCTTTCTTCCCAGCTTGAAATACAAAAACAGGACTTCCCTGGTGACGCGGTGGTTAAGAATCCACCTGCCAATGCAGGGCACATGGGTTCAAGTGCTGGTGCGGGAAGATCCCACATGTCGCAGAGCAACTAAGCCCATGCGCCACAACTACTGAGCCTGCACTCTAGAGCCCGCGAGCCACAACTACTGAAGTCCGCGTGTGCCTAGAGCTCGTGCACCACAACAAGAGAAGCCACTGCAGTGAGAATCCCCTGCATTGTAATGAAGAGTAGCCCCCGCTCGCCGCAACTAGAGAAAGCCCGTGTGCAGCAACAAAGACCCAACGCAGCCAAAAATAACTAAAAATAAAATAAATAAATTAAAAAAGAAACAAAAACTAAAGACGTCTTTCCTTAGCTTCAGATAATTAAAGCCAAGCGAGTAACAAATGCTGGTATTTTCCTGTGGTAACCATGTCACAAGTAGTTACATACGGCATCAAGTACCTCCCCCTGCATCGCACGCCTCTGCTTTGAGAACTGACTTGGTGCTGCTGGTGTGTGGGTTCTGCGCAGGCCTCCCTGGCGGCCCGGCCTCCCTGCGTTAGCTCCGGGGCACTGTAGCTATGGGAAAACAGGAGCAGGTGGTCCAGAGTGGGCAGTGACCTAGGAGAGCGCTGACAGTTTTTACTTTTAGACAAGTAAGCAATGAAAAAGTGTTCACGACTGTTCCCTTTGCAGAACTCTCCCTTCAGGTTCGAACTTGGAACTTGCCAGCTTTGGTCATGTATTTTATGCCCTTAAAGGGTTTGTACTTCTCTCCATACATATCCAGACGATTCACTTTGAGTCCTGGAAGGAAGGAAGAACAAGACATAAGCATTACTCAAAAGAAGCAGGTAGCAGAACTGTTTAGGTTCGTTTCAACTCAAAGAGATCCGTGGGCTAGAAAAATCTGCAGCAGTGAACTGGAAAATACCTGCCGTTACGTACATCCCTTACGTACATCCCTTACGTACATCCCTTACTTACATCCCTTACTTACATCCC